ATTTTGTCATTATTGTCTGTACAGTGTGCGTTACACTGGTGCAGTGTCTCCTCACAGGAAGACAGCCATCTTTGCTCGTTCACGTGACCACACGTCCCTCTTTGTTTAACATGACGTTATAATTACATTTAATTCTGGTATTCATGATCTTATTTAGAAAAAAGCTGCTACTAGTGTGTGTGTCTTTTTTATTGTTCATTTAACGACATTTTTGTGGCTCTCAAAGCACCTTGGTCACAACATCTTCATCAGTCTGTTTTTATTTTGTATTTTTGTCTGGAAATCTCCTCTCATACATTTAAGAATCCTTTCTTTGGTTTCTTTAAAGCCACCAACTTTATTATGTTTATTGGAGATTATAAGAGAAGTCGTGCCTGAGTTTACACGTGAGCAGGAGATATTGGTATTATTATTGCTGTTTGAGTTTGTTTTATTGCAACAAAAGGAAGAGGGAAAATAGATTGTGGTTGTTTATACAAATTTCAATATCTGTCGATATTCAAGGACAGATTTTGATGAAGATATGAAACCTAAAAATGTCTAAGAACAAGGAGCAAGTGTTGAAATGTCTGCTCTTAAAGGCAGCTGTATTTCAGGGTTAAGAACAGTTAAGAACACTGTCTACACGAGTGGTTGTCGGAAATATAACATAGAGTGATGATAAATTTAGAAAGCCACAACATTCACTGTAAGAGCAGCTACACCTGCAGAAAGACGGGCTCGGTGGAATCATGAAGCTGGTTTGAAATGACTGACATGCAGACACGTAAATGTTTGCTGAGCGAAGCTTTAATCAGAGATTTCGTCAAGCTTTAAAAAGCACAGAACTTTATACAAACACACAAGTGCTGTGAAAACTTCTATTCTCCATTTAAATGATTTATTACAGACTGCAGTTTTCTATCAGCCTTCTCTTCAACTAACAGGGAGATTACAGATTCAGTTCCAGCTGTTATTCAAAGTACAGCTGCAAACACATTCAAAATAAAAGCACCAACAAAACACATCAAAAGTGACACTTCATAATAATTATTCTTAATAAACAGTAAACAAAACAATAAATTATATTTGATAATGTTTACTAATCATGTGTAATGCTATTGATTCCTACATATGTAATTAGTTTGTGGTTATTTGTTCTAATCCTCGGGGAGTCAAATAAACATGGACAGTGAGTGAAATGGACTGATTCTTATATAGCACTTTTCTAGTCTCCCAGAGTAAGCGCTCTATACATCACACCCATTCTCACAAGCACTGTCTCTATACTTAGTGCTTTCTAACTACATTCACACTCCGATGGATGCATCAGAGAGCAACTTGGGGTTAGTATCTTGCCCAAGAATAATTGACATGCAGACTGGAGGAGCCAGGGATCGAACCACCAACCTTCCGATCAGTAGGTGACCTACTTTACCTCCTAGACTACAGCCACCCAAAACAGCACATAAAAGGTGTTCCTCAGGCACATTGTGGTTTATGGCTCTGCCACCCCATCGGCCTACTTTACATTCATTATTTAAAGCAAAGCTTCTTTCAGCCTCACAATAACCATCCACATACTGCTTTTATCTGAAACACACAGGTTTCAGTAACTACTTCTAAACTATTACATTTACATCTGTTGTAACTTTGCGATAATCGTCGTGAATCTCTTTCACAACAGTTATTAAAGTTATTATTTTTGATCTTTTCACTATTAATAGTTTACCAACAATTAACCATGTTTATCATAAAGTGTTACCAACTCAAATATAAAAAAAATAACAGAATTTTATTTTGAACATGCAAATAAAACTGAAATAACCGTGATATTTGACTGTGACTGTTACCGTTGACAGATTTTATCTTGACTTCAGCAAACATTACTCCACCGTGATAATAAAACGGTGGATATTGTATTTTTTTATGTTTTAGCAGTAAATTGAGAGCTATATCATTTTGTAGACAATGGGCTTGAGGCGTGTATTACAAGAATTATTATTTTAGAAATGACACAAAGATTACATTTTTACTTACTTTTACTTAATTTCAGCCGTAGCCTTAATCTAAATGTGAAATTATTGTTTGTTGATTTTATCTTTTTGTTTTGTCATTGTTCTACTTTGTGTTTGATTCTATTGCTAAGTGTCTTTGGATGTCTTGAAAGGTGCTTTTAAATAAAATGTATTATTATTAGTAGTAGTAGTAGTAGTAGTAGTAGTAGTAGTAGTAGTAGTAGTAGTAGTAGTAGTAGTAGTAGTAGTAGTAGTAGTATCATAAGTAGATCTGTAAATTCGAAGTATTTGGATTTGATATCATATTGTTAAAGCCAAATCTAATTCCGCACGACTATCACGATCAGTTTTGGGGCTAAACTGAGCTGCATTAAATTTCAAAGAGAATTAAAATAGCGACTTATGGTTTGTATCAGTTATCAAAGACAAATATAAATGTAGCTGGACCTTAAATTGCTGAGTCATCACTCAGACAGTAAATTCCAAGTTAAAGGCAGAAAGTGAACAAGTAGAGCGCGAGTGGAGACTTCAGCTTAAAAAAATGAAAACAAAGCATTAAAAATGTTCAGCGTGGATTTAACTAAATTTTTACAATTATTTTTTAAAACATTCCTTTTTGCATAAATGAATTGGTGCATTATGAGATACAGTTTGGCTCAATCTGATCACCATTGAAGCATTTAATGCAAATGTAATCATGATTATCAGGTCTGTAACAGCGAAATATGTTTTCGGAGCCAATGGAGTTCGCAATATTTGTCAAGGCCTTTGTTGTATTGCGTTTTATTTCATCTCTTTTTTCATCTGAATCAATGTTCATCTCACCTGGCCTGAATATAGCTTCAAACACAAATGCCTTTTCTCCCCACTTGGGTTCAGTAAAGAGTGTTTGAAGCGAATCAGTGATCTTGTAGTTTCCATTTGGATTTGCGCAGCTTGTCAAACATGGAGTAGCATAAGAGAAGAAGACCAACAAATCACCATCCTGACCTTTAAGATTTAGATTCTGCAGAAGACGCCACTCTGCATGTTGAGTATATAGATAGACCCCGTTGTTATTGGTTATGTATTTTATTGGGGCTACCACAAATCTAGAAGTCCCGAGGATACCGTCATTGAATTGTATCCGTTGGTTTGTATCCGTCACCCTTCTTAGGTCATAAGAGACTCTGCTTTCATCCTTCGGAATACTTGCGGCCACGGCATACATTGAATATATATTGTACCTGTCACAAAAAAGACACACACACACACACACACGGTTTATAGAGAGCTTTGTGATAGCTGGTAAAGATGGCTAACATATATGTCAGATGGATGTTGTTATATTTGGACAATTCCCTTCACATAAAGAACAATAAAACAATTAGTGATACAAAGTAAAGATATAAATATATTATATTATTATTATTATTATTATTATTATTATTATTATTATTATTATTATTATTATTATTATTATTATTATTTTCAGCCCAGAAAGGCGAGGTCATGAACATGTCCTCAGAAACAAAGCTAGGCTGGATGATGGAGCTGTAGTCCTCTCTTACCGCAGCTTTATTTATGTAGAGACACATCATTACATGCAACACGGTGATAATCTGTAGCAGCATTCCTCCTGTTAAGTTGTTATAGTTTCTTATTTTTTAGTTTTATTTTTATTTCATTTTGACTGTTTTGTTTGGGTTTTAGTTTAGTTTCAGTTCACTTCAAAGTGGGTTTGCTTGTTTCACTTTATCTTTTTAGCTATTATTGTATGGAGCATGTAGGGACATGATTACAGATGCTTCCTCTGTGTTTTGATTTGATTTTACTTAGTTTACCAAATTCATAAAATCAAGTCTAGCTTTTAATTTGTATTTTATTGTATTTAACTTATTTTTTTTAAGTTTAGTTTTAACTATAATAATTCTGCGTGTAACCACATGTCACCACCTTATCACATAGGTCAGCTCTGCCGAACTTATCGAACACCTTGACAGCACATGAAAACAAATTTTAAAAAATATTTAGTTTCATAGACCATAGATGATGCTGACTTACTCGTGTCTGACTGTTCTTGTTAGATGATATATGAGTGTTGCGAGCTGGTTTTGGTTTATTTCAGCCAAACTTCCAGCAGACAGACAGAAGACCATCGTCACAGTGATCCACCAGAGACCAGCCATCTGCACTCAGAGTTTCATAACAAGGCAGAGTTATTGACATCTACACAGGCTGTTTCTCACATCAGCTTTTCTTCACTCATTGCCTACTCTATGTACCATCAGTGGTGCATTTATCATCCCAACAGTAAAAACTTTACAAAAACATGTGTGGCGAGACTAGTAATCAGTGCTGTGATTTGGTTAAAACTGAAAGGAGAAAGCTGTGTTCTTGTGGAAATGAGCTCTTTTTAAGTGTAAATATTTCTTTAAATTTAAAATGTCTTCCTCTTCCTCAGGACCTCTGCAAACCCCTCACTCAGCCAACTGCTGATTCAAACCCAGAGTTTTTTGCTATGGAGCATAAATACATTTAACTGGCTGTTACCAAAACATCTTCCACTGAGCGACTTAACATCAGCTGACCCTGATTTGCATGAAAAGGTGTCCACATCTGGAGCTCGATGTGAGAGACTTCAGGTTTTTAAATAGAATTTAAGATGTTTGAATAAAACTCAAATGTGGTCACTACTCACCTTTGCTGTTTTGGTGTCCCCAAAATGTCTGATTCAGTTTTAGTGGAGAGCCGGTTTTTGGACACTGTTGTCAAACGTCCTTAAACCAGAGTAAAGCCATGTAAAAATCACTGTTTTATACCAAACCAAACTGATCTTTCAGTGTTTCTTACCTGCAGTCAGGTGAGTCGTTGGTCTGTTTTTAAACTTTCAATTATTCGTAAAATAAATGTTTTATTTTCAGGACAGGATTTTTCGGATATCCGTTTCTTACAGGCAAAGTCACATCTGAAACACCTCTTTCTGTGTCTGAACAATATATCTTAATCTTAAGAGCCAATCACAGTGCAGCATCCATCTAGCGGGTGTAACTTAACATCATTACTTACTGCAAAACAGGCTGATGTGGTGGTGGTTAAAGCACTCCAACAAAGGGCATAAAAGTGTTTCTAAGAAGAAAAAAAAGAGGAAGACATGAGTCATGAGAAAAAGGAGGTGGAGAAGGAACCGCCGCCTCCTGCTGCTGATGCTGATAAGGAGACAGGACATGCTTCAGGTAAAAACTCTTGTCAGTGAATCAGAGATTCACACCTTTTCTCCCTCTGCCACACAAACACCTCATAATTCACCTGAAACACGAATTCAAAAAAAAGAGTTATTTAGAGAAACCCCAACAAATACATCACCGTGTAACATCAAATCATGCACATTGTATTCATGTCACTTCAGACCTCTCTTAGAGGTCTGAATCTCAATATTCCCAATAAATGTACCTCAGTGCAAAAACTTAGCACAAATACAGTCCCTATCAAAAGTTTAGGACCACTTGAAAAAAATGGTAAAAAAAAAATATCATATTTTGCATAGTTAGTGTCACAATCTGAAAGCAGGGACTCAAGCGCAGAACAGGGGCCTGTTCTTCGTACGTCGCTTACTACATCCAAGATCAAATGACACATCCAAGATCAAATCATCGCGCTAACCGTGAGC